ATTAGTCCCGAAATATACATTCCTCTTCAGTTTTCTAAAAGTTTCTTCAGTTTTTCGCTCTTCAGTTTTAAATAAATGCATGCGAATCATTTAAAACGAAGAGATTTGTCGTACAATACTGGATGATTTGCTAATGACGGATTTACAAAAGTAATCTTGGAGCTTTATGGAACTCTATTATTGTATTATTCGTTGCAGCGAATTGGTCTTTATATTGTATATGTGTGTGTACATTATTTATAAATGACCTCGCATGGGATGTTGAATTTAATCAACTTACTTATCTTCGAATAACCACTTATGATAATCACTGTACTACAGCCCACTGTTTTGATTGCATTAATGGTAATGGATTTCGAACAGTTAATGATAAGTATGAAGGGCGCGGGTTGACCATGTGTAAAAGCTGATGAGCCGGGTTCGAATCCGTGTGATACCACAAACTATTCCCTGAACTTTAAGCTATGATGGTTTATAAAAGTGACGGTCAAACTGGTGGAGTGTATGTTGGGCTTTGTGGGTATTCCGACTGACTCCTTTCCTCTGATCAGTAGCTTACAATTATGGAGGGCGACATATTATCTTTGTAGCTTTGCCATAAATACAAATATATTTCCATATGAATACGCTAAACACAAGTCAGGAAAATTTGAATAGTTTGAAATTTTGTGACTTACTAAGTGAGTTGTCGAGGTGAACTAGAAAATTTATGCTCCGAACGAACTTAAATCATTCATTCTTAATTTAGATTTAGTGCTAACTATGGTTGGTTTAGAAGTAAACTGGATAAGTATATTTACAACATTTGTCTCTTGTACACATGTACGAAAAATCTAATTAATCGGCGTTCATATAGACGAGAAAATGGGGCTTTCTTCGCAAAAGTTAGCTGGCTATTGCTTTAAATTCGACGTTCAATTTAAAAGGTCTTTGGACATATACTCTGAAGGTGGAATCTTAGTGATGTCAGTTTATGATATATGAGACGAACAATAATTGAAACATTTATTCTTATATACGTAGGGGTTTGTTTGTTTGGAATTAAGCACAAAGCTACACAATGGGCTATCTGTGCTCTGCCCACCACGGGTATCGAAACCCGGTTTCTAGCGTTGTAAAAATTTCAGCGTCGAACAACAATTAATGTTTGAAGAGATACTTGTTTTTTTAGGATATTCATGTAAATATATTCTACGGATACTTGTGTTAATTTTGAAGTAATAAGTTTAGAGGGAAATCAGTTAGTCAATTCCGCCAACTCTTGGGGTACTAATGTCTGACCGAACAGTAGGATTTAGCCGTCACTGTCATAACGTACTCTCGGCCACATTGTGCAAAGCGCGTTTTTTTTTTATATATAAGTTGGGCCCTCTAATCACTGGGCCAAGCTTGGCCCTTTAAGAAACACATCTGATATCTATCTACGTCATCGAAATACGGTCAAATGAACACAATACACCAACGCCCCCTCTCTTCTCAGACATACACAAAGTGAGACCTTCATACGTCTTACTTAACCAGCACCACTTCATAGACTCATAAAATCAAATACACTATATAGAGAATAGCCTAGTTTTCACGCTTAACCAATGACAGCGAGCTATGAAATGCTGGAAATGGGTCAGAAGTAACTTACCTAAAAATTACTTAGACATATTTAAGCGCATACACCGTTTTTATCTAAATACAAAACAAGCTATTATTACTGTCATTTTTCTAATGGTTTTAGCCATTATATTTATAAAACAATTTCTTCGGGAGGCGGGGGGGGGGGGTCGACTAACCTCTCAAGCTCCTTTTGTGTACAGCATGAACATGAGGTCGTAAATTGAATAATCGGTATTTAGTGGAAATAAGTTAGCAATGTTTGTAAAGCTCCACTATGAAGAATTAAAGTAGCTATTTATGCAGAAACTACTGATAAAATTCAAATGTCCCGCATTTTAAATTCTAACTGCTAAACAGAATAGAATCTGATCTAGTGAGGTGCTTTGTAATGAGTTCTACAGATCAGTTGATATCAGAATCTGATCTAGTGAGGTGCTTTGTGATGAGTTCTACAGATCAGTTGATATCAGAATCTGATCTATAGTTAGATGCTTTGTAATGAGTTCTACAGATCAGTTGATATCAGAATCTGATTTATAGTTAGATGCTTTGTAATGAGTTCTACAGATCAGTTGATATCAGAATCTAATCTATAGTTAGATGCTTTGTAATGTGTTCTACAGATCAGTTGATATCAGAATCTGATCTATAGTTAGATGCTTTTTATTGAGTTCTACAGATCAGTTGATATCAGAATCTGATCTATAGTTAGATGCTTTGTAATGAGTTCTACAGATCAGTTGATATCAGAATCTGATCTATAGTTAGATGCTTTGTAAAGAGTTCTACAGATCAGTTGATATCAGAATCTGATCTATAGCTAGATGCTTTGTAAAGAGTTTCTACAGATCAGTTGATATCAGAATCTGATCTATAGTTAATGCTTTGTGAAGAATTCTACAGATCAGTTGATATCAGAATCTGATTTATAGTTAGATGCTTTGTAAAGAGTTTCTATAGATCACTTGATATCAGAATCTGATCTATAGTTAAATGCTATGTAATTATTTTTTACAGATCAGAATATGATCTATAGTTAGATGCTTTTTATTGAGTTTTACAGATTGGTTGATATCAGAATCTGATCTATAGTTAAATGCTATGTAATTATTTTTTACAGATCAGAACTTGATCTATAGTTAGATGCTTTGTAAGGAGTTTTACAGATCAGTTGATATCAGAATCTGTATTTTGTATTCAAGGAAAAGATACTGAAGCTATGTGCCGCCGTCCCTAATTTTACACCACTGACCAATAGGAAAGCAGCCAGTCTGCAGCACCCCCCCCCCCCAGAATTCGCTGTATGGGATTGATTGTCACTCTTAGTACTGAATAATTAGCACAAGTGTCTCAGTTCTCTTTTCATTCATCTTAGAATAATATTTTATACACTTGTTTACTTAGTGATGTCACCTTTCTCACACTGTTTCAAAAAAACATCACTCCATCACTAAATAATTGGTTAACATATTGTTTATTTAAAACTTGCATAAATATATATAGGGAAATAAATAAATTATTTTTATCTGTGGTCTGTGTAGAAGAGACTCTTTGACATTGGCTTTACAGTTCGTATTGCAAATCGTCTATGGACATTTTCCAGTCACAGCTGTGATACACTATGTGAACTTTTCAACGTCATTGTTTACATTATTGCTGTGAGCTTTCAAATCGAAACCTAAACCTAACCATCGCCCGACACGAGTTTCTTCGAAATTTAACATACTTATCATAAACTTAAAATAACATAATACAGAAGTGAAAGTAAAAATGTGTATAATACTATTCTAGTTATTTTCACACTAGATGGCGTTGTTGTTTAATCAGAAAACTTTCTCTTAGGTGTAAAAATTAAAAATATAAATATATTCATTTTATTATTTTAATTCACAGGAAACATTTGTTAAATAATGGCACTGAGAATTTAATACGTATAACTTTGGACTAATGTTTTCAACGTGCTTAGTGGCGGTATATTTTTCATTTTGGTAAGTAGCTTAAATTTATAATATGGGCTTATTATTCAATTTCACATCTTGGAATTTCTGGATTTTAACCTTTTTCATTGCTATGAATAGATTGTTTTTTATTATTTTCTTCAAACTAACAAATTGTACATAAGTATTTAGCAGTGTCTTACATGTTCTTTCTCTTTTAGCTCAAAGCTATACGCCACCCAGTGGCACAGCGGTATGTCTGCGGACTTAGTATGTGTATACCTGAGAAGAAGGTTTAAGATTGTTTTCCTGAACGTCTGGAGTTTAGAAATTTTCCTGAAAAATGGCAGACAGGTATACGTTATACACATACTGGCAGACAGGTATACGTTATACACATACTAACAGACAGGTGTACATTATACACATACTAACAGACAGGTATACGTTATACACATACTAACAGATAGGTATACGTTATACAC